CCTACTCTAAACCATTTACATAACAAAAGTTAACATGTTAAATGACTTTAAAATTAATTCACAGATTTTGATCCCCAGTAATCTGATCAGTACTACTGCTGTTAGATTTACTCCTTTGATTTGGTAAACTTTGTACATAAATGAAAAGATTTCTTTAAGATTGTAATTCGTATTAGCCTAGCCATCGTTTTTTTTTTCTTACCCTTCGGTGTAACTCAAATCTGGACTAATTCCTCATTTTTCTATCTAATGCATAAAACGAGGACAATTATTCAAAAAAAATTTTACATATATAAAAACTTGAATTCAAGATCACTTGTTTAGACAAGTTAAAATCTTTTCCACTTAAATCAATCTTTTTATGTACTAGCCTAGCCATTTTAATCCATACTTTTTGACAAACAAAGTTTAATTTCAAATAAAATATGGCATTGATACCATGAAATTCAAATAAATAAATTTGTGTAAAGTATTGCTAAATTCACCATATAATTTGTTATTTTTATCAAAATTTTTGCTATAAATTACCAATAAATCACCATTACATCAAATTAGTAACTAGATGGTAACCATGTAAAGATTTTTTTAGTAATTTATAACAAAAAATTGGTAGAAATAAAAAAATATATGTCATTGATTTAGCAATATTTATTTGTATATTATGTTAAGAGTTTAGCTAGTAGCTTATTGTAAAATAAATAAATAAATAAAAGAAAAGTAAAAGTTGTAGCAGCTTGCAGCATGACATGAGATAATGTGAACTATTGAGATTTTTAGGTTCAAATTTCAGGTGAAAAATGCCAACATTTTGGAAAGAGATTTTTCTCTCTTCCTTCTTGCATCAACAAAAAGAAAGTCAGGATGCAATCCTTTATGTTTTTCATCTTTTGGACATTAATCTTTACAAAGATCCAAGCCTAGTGCACATAGCACAAGTTAGTTAGAGGGTCCTTTCACTGAAACCCAAAAAGGGCCCCTTCCCTCCATTATTCCTCATCCATATGGCCTGACATATCGCCATGTTGCGCCCATAATTAATCCATTCATTTCCCTTTTATTCTATTTTATCGACAGCCATATTTATGATTTCTGAACTTGATCCCAATTGAATTAATTGTTAAGTTTTGTGGAAATTGTCAACTCCGTCTTTATTCGTTTCGGTTTTCACCCATACCTGATCTTACCTGTGATGTCAGTTGTATAAATAACTTTTCTTGAGGGTACAACTCAAGCAACTTGAATCTTCTAAACCACATGTACTCGAGTTCAGATTGAAGTTAATTACTACCCTTAAATTTGTCAAAATATACAGTTTATTCCTCATTAGTTTTAGCAGTTCAGCTTGGTCCTCTTTGTTTAGACACTTGCCCCCATATTTCTAGGAAAATCTCCCTTTATGTTTAAATCCTAGAACCACCCCGGATATACTCCATCTCAATCAAGCAGGAGACCTTCCAAAACATTTTACCATAATTTTATGATCAGTAATTATGTTGAACAGATTTTTTTTTTTTTTTTTGAATCACATGTTAAATGTCCTTTCGCAAACAAATTCCCAATTATTATTATTATTTAAATCAATCACTACTGTCTTGTTATTCCACTACTTTAATATCATACTAATAACTAAGATGCATGCACCACGCATATCATTTTTCTACGATTTAATGGTAGTAATTATTGAGGTTATAGAATATTGAAACTTGCCCAATAGTTTTGTCAATTTTATCATTAAATTATCCAATTTTCAAATTACTCTCTTTAATTACTTATTAAAGTTAATCAGGTAATGGAGTACTTACCTTCTCAACAACAGACCTAAAAAACCTGACCTGCCTGTAATTACTGTTCATGCTCCATCAAAACACTGGTAAGCGCTTGCCACGTGCCAATAATTTTTTTTTTTTAGGATTATGACTTAATTGGAGTGGTTAAAATAAATTAACCCAAAGAAATGATTTAGTGGTATGAATTTTGAACATTTACTAAAATATTTAAAATTTAAATTTGAATTCTCAAGTTTTTTTTGTAGCCACAACAAAGTTTATCTCTGTTTTTCAACTTCAACAATATAAAAGTTTAAAATTTTTAATTTTAAAATTAATCCGTACTCAAATAATCGATTTCCGGTTGCCCATAAAAAAAGAAAAAATCAAGAGAATTGAGATATCAACTGCCATTGAAAAAAAACTGCCAGTCATAATAAATTCTGGGCCCTTAGCTCTTCCTTTAATAAATGCTTTTGTACTTGGGACGGCCTTTCTGTACAGGCTGTGACTTTGATGATGTATCATGTCCTGGGTCCTTCTGTTAACTGAGTCCTTGAAATCCAATTACATCTTGTTCAAAAAAATTCAATTGTTATTGACTGGCTTATATTATAAGATAAATGCACGTGAATTCTTTTTTTCTTTTCTTTTTTTAATTATTTTTAACATTATGGGTTACCATTTTTAAGCATGGCATCGTGTGCTTTACATGCAATGGATTTAATAATAAAAAAAAAAATTCACTAAATCCATGAATGGATTTGGTGGTTACCATATTAATTATTCTTTCGATGACTTTAACATATCTTAATATTAAATCTCATTGATGTAAGATCTAGATCTAAAATTGTCTGATCAATTTCAATCTTCTTTATCTAATTATAAACTACTGGCATATCTTTATTTAAAATGGAGAAAAACAACGACCAATAAAGAAAATAAATAGACAACATGTGGATCATATAGATATAAATGACACAAAATAATATAAATAAATGAAGAATAAAAAGGGAGGACTGTCATTGGTGAGCATCAACTAGATGACAGCTTTACGAAATAAAAAGGAGAGGTTTATGCTTGAAGGAGATGGATATATGATAAAATACAACGAAGAACGTGGCCGGATTCATATGGCTGATCCCGCCTAATTTGGAGTTGAGATTTTTTCTCAACAGGAAATCAGGAGTGGATTTAAATTAATTGGTCGAAATTCGGGTTTCATTCTGTACGACGCGAAAGATTTGGAGGTAATCAATACACGTAACAAACAACAACACAGCATCAATGCCCTTTGACTTGTTAGCTTCATTTATTGACAAAGTAGAGATTGATCCGCTTTTAGACATACAATGGATTATTCTTTTTCCCCCTTTTGGTTATTTAACAATGTAGGATATTTATGACTTCATTTTTTTTAATGACTTCTTTTTTAAGATATTATAACATTTTTTTTCCAACAAGCTTTCTTCTTTTCGTGAGGTTTGAGACTAGGATTCTTTTTAAGTGAAAATTTTAAGTCTCTAAGCATTCGGATTTTTTTATTTTTAATATTTTACCAAAAGAAAAAAACTAAACCCGAATCCATTTTCTATTTGGTTTTCGGTTTATCAAATCAGAATTTTGGTTTTTCTATTTGGATTATTAGGAAAAAAAATAAATTTTTTTTCCAATTTTTTTTAAAATATTAAAATAATATAAATAAGACCCAAAAAAAAAATTGTGTTATGGATTATAGATTCCTTCTTCTAACCCAGATGATCTAAATTGGTTTACATGATAGATAATAAATATTTGTTAATAAGACTAAAGCACAAAATCATAACACATAATAAGCCATCAAAATTTAAATATAAATCCATAAATTCACATCTAAAATAGATAATGATTAAAAAATCATTAATTGTTAAAAAATGTTGTAAATCAAATTACTAAAATTCAAATGACAATCAAAAGTTCACACATGTTCTAAAAAAAAGATTTTTGATGAAAACTAAATTTAAGAATTTTTAAAAATAAATGAAACCAAATAGCTAAAATTAATTTGATTTCGGCTTTTTTATAACCAAATTTAATTAAACATCGAACTAAATTGATATTTCGATTTCAATTCAATTCGGTTAATTGGTTTTAATCAAATACCACTCACCTCTAATTGCGACCCATATATTTAGTTAGGTGTTATTTAGTTTTAAAAAATAAAAATAAATAAAAAGACTAAAATAAGATTGTAGGAATCAAAATGAAACTTAAGGAATGGAAATGACATTTTTATTGCAATATTATTTCGAAATAATAACAAAAAATCAAATTAAAATTTGAAATTTTTAATATTTGATTTTTAAGATGAATAAGAACAATAATTTAAAAAATAATTTTATCATTTATGATAGTAAAAAAAAATGATAAAGATGATTGTAGTAGAGGAGAGAGAAAAATAGAGGTGATGGTAATAATAGTACTATAACAATATTAATAATATATTTTAAAAACAATTGAAGTCACTACCATAGATGATTTCAGTGGAAAAATGGTTATTTACTTATTTTTTTAACTCATACATTCAAAACTCTTAACGAACTAGTATGTTAGAATTTGAATTCATGACCTCTTGTAAAAGACCATTATCACTCGGGTTATAAGCTTTTTAGTCAAATGAAAAAATAGTTGTAGTAATAATAATATAATAAAAATAATAGTGATAGTGGTAGATGAATTATGCCGAAGTAGTAGTAGTAATAATAATAATAATATTTTGTCACCATCGCCAATGACAACGAAGGTAGAGGTAGTAATGATAATAGAAATAGTTGATATACAATTTAAATAAAAATAATATATCACTATTTCGAAGAAAAAAATTTTCATTTTCATTCTTTATTTTTATTTCTATTTTTTTAAAAAAAATAAAATTATGTTTAATTTTTATTTTTATTTCTGCTTCATTCGTTTCAACCAAATACTTAGAAAATGAGAATAATTTTTTCTTACTATTTCCATTTTTTTTTCTTATTACCAAATAATACCTTAATATTACTTGGTCCTTTTTTTTTTTTTGTTAAGTTCTATAGTCAACTTGCATGCTCTTTTATATCAACTTCTTCTCTTTTTCTTTTTTTTTTTTTTTTTTTTTTAAACAAACTCTGCTTTTGGGCCAATATATATCATCCACTGTCTCTCTCTCTCTCTCTCGCCTTTGTCGTTACATATCATTCATTTTCAGGCCAAGACAAAATGAGTTCCACTCCAGGCAACGAAGACACCAACGACGTGATCATGATAACTAAGAAGAAGAAAAAGAGCAACGAGGGAAAAGAAAAGAGACAACAGAGAGTTGCGCTCTCAAAACTATTTGCTTTTGCTGACTTTTACGATTATGTGCTAATGGGGTTGGGATCAGTTGGTGCTTGTGTTCATGGAGCTTCAATGCCTGTGTTCTTCGTTTTCTTTGGAAAGTTGATAAATAGCATTGGAATATCTGCTGATGCTCCCCAAGAAGCTAGCCACAGAGTTGCCAAGGTAAAGGAATCTTTTCTTGTGATGGGAATGCAACGTAACATTTAATTTTCGTTGTTATCTTTTGGGTGTGTGTGTATGGGCTGTTATTTATTCTTGACTCCTTCATATCCTTTTGCAGTACTCGCTGGATTTTGTATATCTAGGTGTAGTTATGCTGTTTTCATCATGGACTGGTATGCCCAATTCTCTTAGTTCTTACAAAATATTATTATATTTTTATACGTTAATATCCTAATATATTGTTATATAATATGTGAAATTTACAATCTATCCCTAAATTTAAAAATGCATTCAATATGTGATAGTCGTTATTTGAGTTGATTTTAATTTATTTTGTGGGTTAAAATTTCTTGCCAAATTAAGCATATAATTTGATAAAATTCTTTTTATTCTTTCACATAAGTTATCTATATATACTAATATAAAGATTAATCTATTATGAATTGATAAGAAATTTTGATCAAAAGAATAGATTAGATTAGAAATCGAGTTCAAATAATATAGATAGATTGGAGACGTATGAATTAGAAATCTAGCCTATTATATAAGGATAAGTAAGAGTATTAATCCTATTTTTATTTCCACAAATTTCGCATGACATACATAGCAAGTATTAGGAAAGTAACTGCACAATAACTCTATAAAATATATTTAACATTTTAAATCATTTAAAAAATCTAGATGTGAAATAAAATTAGTTAATATTAACTATGTAAATTTATTTTATTTAGTATATATTATACAATAGTTAATAAAAAAATTTATATGTCATGTTTAAGGTTTTTTTTTTTTTTTTTTTTTCAAAATCGATAAAAGTGTATTGATAAAGAGATAATAGTATATTATTGTAATGAATACATAAAACATATAACAATACTACAAATAAATGGCTTGTAGATAGAGAGGAAGATGAAAAATATAGAACAAAGATGTATTCAAATAAAATATTTATGTGGTTGTAGTCTCTTGGGATGTAACTTGCTAAAAATTGCATGATGAATATAAGATTGTATAACATCAAGATATTGGATCATGCGAAATTTTATAATACGTAAGGAGTAACTAGCAAGTATATATAAAGGTTATTCTATAAATCCATTTGAAGGAGAGAGATTATCCGTCTATCTCTCTCCTCCAAGTAAATTTATAGAGTAATTAGTGTACATGTCACTAGTTACTTCTTAAATATTATAAAATTTCTCATGGATCATAACCATCTTACGAGATATTTAAAAAAATTACACTTGTAATTGCTTATTTGAAAATAATAGCTTTCTATTTGTCATCTTTCTTTGAAGCGAGATATTGATGTAAATTTGAAAAAATTAATATAATAAATACATTCATCATCTTGATTTGACCAACCATTCAATATGAATAATTCAATCACTGTCAAATTCATATTTCAATGACATGCTATTTTGACATAAATTTAGAGTTATCATATTTTAGGGTTATTACTAAACAAACAAAAACAATACAATTAAAAAAAAATTAATATTAGTAACAAAATTTGTAATCTTACCCCACGGGCAAGTGCTTAAAGATAATAGAATAGAGAAAATTCAAAAAATAAATATTGATGATAATAGTAAAAATAGAAGAAATTAATTTGGAAGAACTAAAAAAAAGTTTCACCAAACAAAGAAAATGATGGAGATGATAAATTTGAATAAAAAGTAAGAGAAATTTTATAATACTCAATGAGTAGCTAGTGACATGTACAATGGTTATTTCATGGACCCATTTAGAGGAAAGAGATAGACACAATAAAAAGAGAGAAAATTAAAAAAAAAACATTGAGAAAAACTGAATTATTTTTTGTGGGTTCGAATGTAATTTTATGTGTCTATCTATCTCCTCTAAGTGAATCTATAGAGTAACTACTGTACATACCACTAATTACTTCTTAAATATTATAAAATTTCGCAAAAAGTAGATAAAGATAAGAAAAACTCCCACTAAAATTATGAGGAGAGAGAACAACTCATAAAAAAGAGGAAAGAGATTAGTCTCCCCATAATTATTTGAAATGTTTTGTTAAAATTTAAAAGAACTCATAATTAATTACTTAAATTTAAAACTTGTTTAAGTTTAAATATATCCTATAACTATGTTTGATTTAGATCAATAAAAAAAAAAGGAAACACATAATTAATTTTTTTATAAAAAAAAGATGCTAAATCAATTTATATTAAAAGAATTTTTAATTTTAGTTAATAAGTCTATAAAAAAAATATCAAATAATAAGCATTAACTGTTGATAAAAAAATATTTTAGGCAAATAATAAATAGCAATAAATAAAAGCATAAAAAAAGAAAAATAAAAAAGAAAGGAGGCTAAGTTGGAACGCGGATCAGGCCTGTGCAGATGGTCCAGAGATAACCAGGCCTACACACTTGGGCTGGAAGAACAACCCAACCATTAAAGATAAAAAAATAGAGGAGAACGACGTGTCGTTCGCCAGACCACCCCTTAACGGCATTGCAACTCCGTCGTCGTGGTCGGCAAGGCTTTCAAAAAATAGGGGTTGTTATGTTGGTTTCCTACGCTCAACTTCTATACCATTTTCACCTTAAAATCATTCAAAAGACATAAAAACCCAGAGAAATTTTATAATACACCTTAGAAGTCCAAAAAACGAAACCCCTTCTCTCGTACTTACCTTTTCTCTTCTTCCTCAACATTCAAGGCCTAAATTTGTTATAAACAAAAGAAGTTTAGGATTTTTCCGGTAAAACAACGTCATTTCTAACCAAAAAGATTTAAAACAACGCGCCTTATGTTCATTTCTGGTACTGTGCAACATCTTTTCGTTTTACTTTCTTTATAACAGTAATATAATTATAATATATCCAGCATTAAAAAATGAAAACAAGCGTCCAATTATTTAGTTAGCTGATTCTAATTTTTTTCCCCTTTTATCAAATCTTTGTCATTTGATTATTAATCTTGATCAAGACTGTCATTAATCTTTAAAGTAAATGTGGATATGCAGAAGTGGCATGCTGGATGCACTCCGGAGAGCGCCAGGCAGCAAAGATGAGAATGGCATATTTGAAATCAACGTTAAATCAAGAAATAAGTTTATTTGATACTGAAGCATCAACTGGAGAAGTCATAGCTGCGATTACTAGTGACATTATAACCGTGCAAGATGCCATTTCTGAGAAGGTATAAATTGATCATTTTTAATTTCAAATTCTTGAATCCTTTTCTTTTTGTATCTGTTATATGCAGCTACGTAATGGGGTAACTTTCTCCAGTCTCTCATTAAGGGACCACTCCAGTTGTAAAGATTTGGGATTTCCATTAAGAGAACTTGGTGGAAGGCATGCATGGGATGGGAATTTGGGGTAGAGGATTACCCTTGTTAATAAGAATGCAGTACAATTTATCCTTATTTCTTTCCGTTTTGTTTCTCTGCACTGGTTTCTGAAACAAGCTGCTTAAATAACAATTTGTTCTGTTCTGGTTTCTGACTTGCTCGAATGGTGAGGGATGCAGGTAGGGAACTCAATGCACCATATGAGTCGATTTCTGGGCGGCTTTATTATTGGATTTTCTAGGATATGGCAAATTAGCCTGGTGACAGTGTCTATACTTCCTCTAATTGTGCTTGCTGGGGGTCTCAATGCATATTTACTAATCGGCCTAACTGCAAAAGTTAGAAAATCGTATGCCATGGCTGGGCAAATAGCTGAGGGGGTAAGATTTATTTCACCAGTAATCAAATAGCATTGGCAAAATTGATTGAAACCTCAATATTTGTTCATTCAATAAATGGTTCAGATGCAAGTTCAAGTTTATTGCTGTCATGATAAATTTTGACTGTCTGTGACTGATCATGGGGATAAAATTGACTCAATGAAATCTCTTACGGTTTATGATGTTTATCTAACCTTCAGGTGATTGGAAATGTTAGAACAGTTCAAGCATTTGTAGGAGAAAAAAGGGCAATAAGATCATATAGAGAAGCTCTAAGGAATACATACGAGTATGGAAGAAAGGCAGGCCTCGCCAAAGGTCTAGGCATAGGGATCGTTCATTGTGTCCTTTTCCTCTCATGGGCATTACTTGTTTGGTTCTGCAGCATTATTGTTCATAAGAACATTGCCAGTGGCGCTGACTCTTTCACCACCATGCTCAATGTTGTTATATCTGGCCTGTAAGCCTTCGCTCATATCTTTGTCTGTGGCACCTTTCACATTCATTTCAGCGGATTCTGGTCCTTCTACAATTCAGTCATTATTAACTGCTTTAATAAGTCAGAAGCTATATATTGAGTTGTAGAGCTTCAACAATGGGTATGCCAAGAAATTTTTAGTTGTCCTATTCTTCTTTTGCCTTTGGTTCACAACTCAATAGCTGATTGGTATATTTCATGAGAGAGACAACATTGAAATTGTTATAGCAACTTTACTTTTTCAATCATCAGATCACAACAGAGCATTTGCATTCTGTACAAAACTGTTAGACAAACTACTTATTGGTCTTCATTGCTTTTCAGTTCACTCGGAATGGCGGTACCAGATATCTCTGCATTTGTCCGAGCAAAGGTAGCAGCTTACCCCATTTTTGAAATGATAGAGAGGAATAAAAGGAGCACAAAAACTGACCGAAAACTAGATAAATGGCAAGGCCACATTGAATTCAGGGAGGTGTGTTTTAGCTATCCATCTCGTCCGGATGTAATGATCTTTGATAAATTCTTCCTTGATATCCCTTCCGGAAAGATTGTTGCTCTTGTGGGAGGAAGTGGATCTGGAAAGAGCACAGTTATATCTTTGATTGAGCGCTTCTATGAGCCTCTATCTGGACAGATACTATTAGATGGGAATGATATCAAGGACTTTGACCTCAAGTGGCTTAGGCAGCAAATTGGGCTAGTAGGTCAGGAGCCTGCCCTTTTTGCAACAAGCATTAAGGAGAACATCCTTTATGGAAAAGGTGATGCCACCCTTGCTGAGATCACACATGCTGCTAAACTTTCAGCAGCTCTCTCTTTTATCAACAATCTTCCTGATGGATTTGAAACTCAGGTACTAATTTACCGTTGTTAACAACCAAGATATCTTTGTGGTAACATGTCTGATGAAAGATCCCGCATTGATTAAAATTTGAGTAGGTGTGTGAGGAATTAATAATTGTGGATAGACTTTAACACAGTCGCTTTAAGTTTTTAGGTTCAATGCTTGTCTAAACATGTTGCAGGGCCTTCATTACACTTTTCGGAGCTGACTTTTTCCTAAAACAAAATAGCTATACTTACAAACTTACCATTTTGGTATCAATTAGTTCAAAGAATTTCATTTCTCAACAGAAGAGTTCTTTGAGAATGGAAATGTTATGACCGTTTCTGTAGTTACTTTACGTAGAAGCAAATGGTACCATCGCTTCTTATCACTATAATGCCAATAGAAAAGTACCATACTTCTGATCTCTATGGAATCACAAACCGTAGAAAAAACTAGAAAATGGGAACATGTTGGTGGATTTGATATAAGGGAATAATATGACTGGGAACTTGTAGGTTGGGGAGAGAGGAATACAACTATCAGGTGGGTAGAAGCAGAGGATTGCAATATCCCGTGCGATGGTGAAGAATCCATCAATTCTCTTGCTAGATGAAGCTACAAGTGCTCTTGACGCTGAGTCTGAGAGAAGCGTGCAAGAGGCACTCGATCATGCTATGGTGGGAAGAACTACTGTAGTTGTGGCTCATCGACTGTCAACCGTTAGGAATGCAGATATGATCGCTGTTGTTCAGGAAGGGAAGATTGTGGAAATCGGAAGCCATGAGGAGCTCATCTCAGACCCAAGTAGTGTCTATGCATCTCTTGTTCATCTCCAGGATGCAGCTTCTTCGCAACGCCAGCCCTCACTGTCACTGACCCCAACCAGGTAACTCCATTAACATTCTGAAACTCCTTTGCTTGCCAACATGTTTAGCAGCCAGGCAAAATAATTAAGCTTCCTGTTTGTTCAAAATCACATATCATTATCATGAAAATTCTGCAGACTATGATTTTAGTACTTCACTGTTTATTTTATCTTTAGTTCAAGGTACTCTCGCGAATTATCCCAAACAAGAACAAGCTACGGTGCCAGTTTTAATTCTGACAAGGGTTCTGACGGACATGCCGGTATTGATACCTTGAATCCTACGAGACAAAGGAGTGTTTCAATGAAAAGACTATATTTGATGATCGGTCCTGACTGGATTTATGGGGTAATTGGAACCATCTGTGCGTTTATTACTGGAGCTGTCATGCCACTTTTTTCGCTCGGACTCTCTCAAGCTCTTGTAGCCTTTTATATGGACTGGGACACAACTCGCCAGGAGATCAAAAAGATAGTGATCCTGTATTGTTGTGGTGCAGTAATTACTGTGGTTGTCTATGGCATTGAACATCTTTGTTTTGGAATCATGGGAGAACGGCTCACTCTTCGTGTGCGAGAAATGATGTTTTCCGGTAAATATTCATTATTCAGTCCTGAATGTTTTTTCTGTTTAAACTATATCTGGATCTGCTGGAAGCAATAGACAGTCACGAATTTTAAAAGTGTCTCCAGCTCCATGCTACCCATGTATACTCTTTTGCAAAGTCAGTGATACGTATGAAGCTGATACATATTATGTAGTATTCCGTGAGCCAATGAAATACACATTCAGAGCTGGAAGAATTCATTCAAGGGATTTTCTTTTTAATTTAGAATAAGGAAGTTATTTCTTTTTATTCCTTAACTTTTAAAATTTGTTTGGTTGCAGCCATATTGAGGAACGAGATTGGATGGTTTGATGACTTGAACAACGCAAGTTCTGTGCTGGCATCACGTCTAGAGAGTGATGCAACTTTGTTGAGAACCATAGTCGTTGATCGCTCAACAATTCTCTTAAACAACGTCAGTCTGATAGTTACCTCATTTATCATTGCCTTCATCTTAAACTGGAGACTCACTCTTGTGATCATAGCTACATTTCCACTGCTCATTAGTGGTTCAATCAGCGAGGTTTCCTTTCTTTTTCTATATTAAGTTGCACAGAAGCTCCAGTTTTTTGGGCAAACTGATAATGGTTCTTCTTTTAAATTCAGACACTCTTTTTGAAAGGCTATGGAGGCAACTTGAGCAAAGCATATCTCAAAGCTAACATGCTTGCTGGTGAGGCTGTGAGCAACATCCGTACTGTTGCAGCATTTTCAGCTGAAGAGAAGGTCCTAGACCTTTATGCACGTGAGCTTGTGGAACCTTCTAAGCGTTCATTTACTCGAGGCCAGATTGCAGGCATATTCTATGGCATATGCCAGTTTTTTATCTTCTCATCCTATGGGCTTGCCTTGTGGTATATGGCTTCAGCTCCATCTTATATACCGTTTTCTGTTACAATGCAGAGCAGATAACAGCTAGCTTCTTATAATCGAAATATACTGTTATCACTTTAGTAGCCTGACTCTGCAAATCAAATGCATTACTTCTTCTAATGATTGTGTTCTTGTTCAACTTTGTGTAGGTATGGTTCTGTTTTGATGGGGAAGGGGCTTGCGAACTTTAAATCTCTTATGAAGTCATTTATAGTTCTGGCTATTACTGCACTCTCCATGGGTGAGGCTCTAGCATTGGCGCCCGATCTTGTGAAAGGGAACCAAATGGTCGCATCGGTATTCAATTTGCTGGACAGAAGGACACAGATGGGGGATGATGGAGAAGTGTTGACAAATGTGGAGGGTACAATTGAGCTAAGAGGTGTAAAGTTTAGCTATCCTTCAAGGCCAGATATTTTGATTTTCAAGGATTTGGATCTAAGGGTGGTTTCAGGAAAAAGCATGGCTTTAGTGGGACAGAGTGGCTCTGGTAAAAGCTCTGTTCTTGCTCTGCTACTTCGGTTCTATGATCCAACAGTGGGGAAGGTGATGATTGATGGTGAGTTTCTTGGGGCTTTGCTTACTATAACATCACAAAAATTTTTGCGCATTTATTTTCAAATAAGCAAGCCACAACAGGATTATGGTAACTTATGTTGTTTGCAGAAATAACCCATTCTAGAAAGTAAAAAACAGTTAGAAGCAAATGGTTATGGTGTGGTATTCATACTTGAGATTGCTATATGTCTTTGGTCTGACAAACATCTTATCAAAATTCCGTCAGGCATAGACATCAGGAAACTCAATCTCAAATCTCTTCGTGAACACATTGGTCTAGTCCAACAAGAGCCAGCTCTTTTTGCCACATCAATCTATGAGAACATCTTGTATGGGAAAGAAGAAGCCTCCGAAGCAGAAGTGATTGAAGCAGCTAAGCTTGCTAATGCTCATAGTTTCATCAGTTCCCTTCCTGAGGGTTATTCAACCAAAGTTGGTGAACGAGGGGTACAATTATCTGGTGGACAGAAGCAAAGAGTGGCCATTGCCCGAGCAGTCCTAAAAAATCCTGAAATCTTGTTACTAGATGAAGCCACCAGTGCTCTAGATGTAGAGTCCGAGCGTATTGTGCAACAAGCTCTAGACGGATTGATGAGGAACCGAACAACAGTCATGGTGGCACATAGGTTTTCCACAATAAAGAATGCAGACCAAATATCTGTTATACAGGGAGGGAAAGTGATAGAGCAGGGAACTCATTCTAGTCTTCTACAGAATATAGGTGGAGCATACTTTAAGTTAGTTAGTCTTCAACAGCAACAAGAATCGCATCAACATTGAAACAATTGAGAACAAGTAAGATAGTTTCTTTCATCGTTGTAAATGTTCCTCTCCTCTTATCTTTTTCATTGTATATTTATCTATATATTTGGATTTGATATGTAATTTAATGGAACATAATCCTACGCGATATTAGAGAATGTTGTGCAAAATTAAATTGGCCTTAGCAGTCAATTATTATTATATATGGTTTTAATTGATAATCCAAGCATGGTTTACCAAAACTAGAAAGCAAAAAATAATTTCAGCACCAAAGCCCACAAAGTAATAAGACAGACAGACGCTGAAATGCCATAGTGGCACGTGGGACAATATGATAGGACCACATTGGATTCAAAAAGTTTAGTTTAGTTCCTGATATTTTATGTCAGGCCTTAGTAACTATCTATTTTAAGCATTTTTAATTTAAATCCAAACTTATTAATTATGTTAGAGCATTCTGAAATTGGCATCAGAACCTAATTAATAGCCAATTAAAATATTAAGATAGAAATATCTGAAATAAATCATTACCTTGAAGATTTGAAAGAGAAATAAATAACATGCTAGAGGAATATAAACTAAGTACTCCTCAAGTATTATAAAATTTCTCAGCCTTACGTGACACAAACAAAAGAAAGTGTTCTATGCTGGATTCATGTCTTGAAGTTTCAGAAAGTTCAAGATGTATTAGTTGTGGTTATTGTTTTTATAATGGAAAGAAAGAATAAAAGTTAGCAGGAAAAACAGAAACAGAGAGGAAGCAGAAAATTGCAAACAGTAATCTAGGAGAAGAGAAACATCCGTGTTGTTTTTAATATTTACCTTTTTTCAACAATTTAGTCTTTGTCGTTTCAATATTTATGTGCCAGTCCCTATTTTGTTGTTGTGATAATTTAGTCCATGTCCTTCTTTTACTCCTTAATATGTAATTGATTTATCATGATTATGTTTGTTTTTTAGGACATTAGTTATCCACTTCCATATAAATATTATCATAATGAAAAACTCTGCAATCTATAACCTTACTGTTGATTTCATTTTTAGCATAAGGTACTGTGATGAATTAAAGCACAAAAGAATGAGCTTTAAGGCAAGTTTTAATTCTAAAAAGGATTTTGATGACCACGATGGTGTTGGTACGTTAAAGCCTATGAGACATAAATGTTTTTGTTGCTATCCGACATTTAAAAAACTTTCAAAAATTATTATGCTAAAGGAAAAAAAGATTAAAAAAAAATTTAGAGTCGCTACTTAATATTAAAAGTTACTAGAATCTAAAAAAAAAAATGTTGGATATAAAGATTCTGAATAAAAAGTCGATTATGTCTTTGAAAAGATAATAATCATCCAAAAACCTCTTTTATGAGAAAAAAATGCCAACTTTAGTCTAATCCTATAAAAATATTCTAAAAATTTTATTTGTCAAATTATTTTCTAAGTTTATTTTAAAGTCTATTTATCATCCAAATAAAATTAATTTATTCTTTATTCTTTTATTGTGGCATCGCAGATAAAGTAGCGATCGACTTTAAGATTAAGAGTCGCGTTAATAATTAAAATTCGACATAATTGACATATTGAGGAACAACTTAATAACTAAAGGTATTTTATTTACATGTGAACAAGAACATATTTTTATTGATTCTTTTATTTTTCTATTGTGAAATTGTATTAAATCAATGTCAAGTTTCAAAATTTAAAATTCATTAATTTAGCATTAGATCTAATTAAATCCCGACACGATTGGCATGTTGAGGAATAGACTAATAAGCTAAGAGTACTTAATTCGGATGCGAGATGAGAAAATGTCTCCGAAATTGATTTTTTTATTCATAAATTATTAATATTAAACATTGAATAAAAATCACACACACACACACACACACATATAAAGACAATAGCTTAGCAAAAACATTCCAAAATAGATTATGATAAATTCAAAAAATTGTCAAATAAGATATGATTGATTTGAAAGAAAAAAAAACATCATTTGACGAGTGAACATGATTAAGTCGACATAAAAATAAAGCATAAATCTAGTCGACAACAAGTGGGTCATACCAAAGAACGGCTTAAAATCGTTTAAGAGATTATGCAAAACAAAGATAAGCAAATCATCGAATGTTTCCAATCAAATTTGGTAAATTATTTGAAATAAACAAATGGTTCTAAAATTATACACAAGTAAAACAACAATTTTAATCAAATTAAACCACAAAATGTTTCAAAAATTATATTTAGCACAAGATATGAACAAAAATATTGTTGATACAAACAATTCAACAAACAAGTAAAGAATCATAAATTCACACAAGGACCAAATCGTTACATTCTAGATGGTCTAAATCGTGATTTATACCGATGCGATTTCAATTTTCATAATTTTCAAGAAATTCATTAAAAATGGCTTGATTTGGATTCAAACCGATGCGATTTCGATCTTTGCGATTTTCAATCAAAATCAATTATTATTAAAATAAAATAGCAAAAATGGTCCAATCTAGATTCGAACCGATGCGATTTTAGACTTCACGATTTTCAATCTAAATCAAGCATTATTCAAATAAAATAGCAAAAATAGTCCAATTCGGGTTCGGATTGATGCGATTTCAAGTTTCATAGTTTTTATTTGAAATCGGACATATCTAGTCTAAAATACCATTAAATGATTTTATCATACGACAAAACAATCGTATTTGGGCACATGGGAACTAGCACTTGCTTTGGATAATCAATTCAAAATGAAAACATATTCTAAGTCTTTTCAACTCCATTACAAAGCATTGACATTGATTTTATTTTTCTTAAAATATACTCGGGGTCTCGGATTCTTTTAAGCTCGATAAAGTTATGTATCTAAACACTTCAAACATCACAAACATAAGCAAATCTATATTTTTACATCTTATTCATCTAACAATATAAAATGAAAATAATTTACATTATTTTTATATAAAACAATAAATGGATACAAGTAATTTCAAAAGTTACCCAAACAACATTGAGACCGTAAAAAGAACACTAGAGGAGTCGATTCAAATATAAAATTACTAAAATACCCATTCAACTCGGTTACTCTTCCTTTGATCTTGATGAAGATGAAGATTGAAACTATTTCGATCAATGGAGAGAGAGGAAACTATTGCCGATTGTATTGTGAGACTCCTTTCCTTACTTCGTTTAGTCCACTAATTCAAAGTAGAAATCTAATGAGAAAAACAAAGCTTGGACATTATATTTTACAAGCTCCCATATTGGACGAAAACAATCTAAGAGTCATTCTTTTTATTCGGCTTCCATTCTTCCCTTTTTTCATTACTCTCCATTGTTCGAAAGAGGAGATCAATTTTTAGAAAGGTAATTGGTGATATGGGATTTAGGCAATAGGGTGATGGCTATTATGGGTGGTCAGGCGAGTGTTGTGGTTTGGTGAATAGGTGGAGATCAACTACGGTGGTGGTTGGGCGGTGTTGAAGTTTGGTGAATGGATGGAGACCAACTATAATGGTGGTCAGGCGGTGTTAAGGTTCGATGGTGAGAAGGTTTTGGTTGGGTTTGTCGTTGGCGGCTACTGCGGGTGGTCGGTGAAGAGGGTATGGTCTGGACAGGTGTTGATGTGTGGGAGTTAGAAGTGTTTCATTGGGTGATTATGGTTATGGAGAGTGACAGAAAGGGTTTAATAGGTCGGTTTTTGTACGAGAGTTTGGTGGTTGTTGTGATAGTAATGGATCATGCGAAGGTTAGAGTTAGGGTTTGTTGATGTAGAGTTTGAATTTGTGGTGAGCTTACAATGGCGGAGATGGCTACTAGGATTGATGAGGGAAATTTACAAGTAAGGTGGTCGGATTATGGAGAGCTACAAGCAACAAGATGAGGTTGGATTATAGGAGAGTGTGTTGTAGGAGTAGGGATCAATGGCCGAATAGTGTTTTAGGTTTTGTTAGAGGGAGGAGATCGGCTATATGAATGAGTATTATTGGCTGGGTTTTGGTTGGGTGATGGCTATTGTGGCGGCTAGATTATGGTTGACGAGGATGATCGGTGATGAGAGCTATGTAGGCCGATGTGCGGGTAAAGAAGATGAAGGATTCAAGTTAAGAGGATGAAGAAATTCGGTTTACGGGTTGAGAGTGAGATGAAATAGGTTTGAGGGTGAAATGGCCGATAGTTTTTTTTTTTTTTTTGGAGTGAATAGTGGAACCCTCCTTCTTTTGAAGAAAAAGAGAAAATGAGGTTTTTATAATGGCCTTTTAGGGTTATGGGTAAAATTTAGCTTCGATCCCTCATTCTTTCACTTTTTTACAATTTTGGTCATCATTTCATTATTTTTTCATCAATCAAGCCTATTAATTGACATTGTTTAGTCCCTTATCTTTTAATTTCATCTTAATTTATTCTCAATTAATTTCTTTGATTTTTATTCTCTATCAATTATACCCTTAATTAGATGTTATTTGGTCCTCACTTCCCACAACCTTTTCAATTGGACCCAAATCATCTTTTCAATTTATTCTCTTTTCTCTTTCTTTTCCACTTTTTTTTCTTTTTTTATTTTATTAAAATTAGGGATAATTATAAGAAATTAAAAATCCTTAGAATTTATAAAAATACCTAAAAATCATGAAAAAAATATACAATATACAATTTTATTTATTTATTTTTTAAATTTTGTATGAAATAAAAATAAAAAATTATGAGGGTCAAAAAATGAGTTATGACGAGTTTCAAAGAAAAGATTGTATTGGATGATCGGCCACGACTAGACTTATGGGGTAATTGGACTCACTCAAGCACTTGTATCCTTTTACACGAACCGTGGCATAACTCGTTAGATGATCAAGAAGATATCAATCCTATTTTTCCGTGCTACATTAATTAGTGTGGTCATCTCTCATCTCTCTTTTGGAATCATGAGAAAAACAACTAACTCTTTTGTTCAAAAAAAAAAAAAAGTTTTTCGATAAATATACAGACCTTTACATGTTTATTCTTTTTACCATTACAAAGTTTAGAGTGAAATTTATTTGAGTCTCTAGTCTCAAATTACACACTCTTCTTGAAAGGCTATGGTGTCAATTTAAGCAAAGCCTATCTTAAAGCTAACATATAAGTTGGTCGGTGAGGTCGTGAGCAACATCTCGCATCATATACAGTAATTGCAGTCGAAGAAAAGGTCCTTGACCTTTATTCTCATGAGTTTATGGAACCTTCTACGCAACAATTTACTCGTGGCCGGATTGTAGGCACATAATATGGCTTGTACCAATGTTTCATCTTCTCATCTATGGGTTTGTTATCCGGTATATGGCTTCTACCCCATATTATATACCTTTTTCTTTTTACATTGTGTAAAAGATAACTACTTTTTTTCTACTATCGAAACATACGACATCACTTTTTCAAACTAACTACAATACAATAGAAGCATTAATATGTCCGACGCTACGGATAAATACATGTCTCCTTTCAATAGGTATGGTTCTAGCTTGATGGGGAAGGAGCTTGTTGGATTTAAGACCATCATGAAGTCATTTATCGTTCTTTCTATTACCGCATTCTTCATGGGTGAGTTTCTAGCGCTAGCACTCGATCTTTGTTTACTTTGGCCTAAGAGTAGTTTCGAGTAAGAGTATGGCTTTAGACAAATTCATTAGCGTGAGTTATTGTAGATTCCGGAAGATTACCTAGAGAGATTATAGGGTTTGTAATATACCAAAATTCTAGTCTAGAGTTATTGTATATATTTGTTTCCTTTTTAGTATATGTTGTTCCTAGCACACAAAAGGAATATAATTAAATAATAAAAATTAATATAATAAATAAATAAATTTATTGTAAATTAAAATAAATAAAGAATTGAAATTTTTTACCTTGATCGTCAAAAATTCGAGATTAAAATCTTGTTACCATGTGTCATGGTATAAGGATGATTGAACCATCAAAATAATTTACTATAATTTTTAGGTGACTGACTCAAGGCACAACTAGATTGCTTGTTTGAAATGATACGCGCCAATCGTAGAATTTATTTAATACAACGGATATTGCATGTCATCTCGGGGTACAATAAGTTCAACCACCTTGCCATATCTTAACAAATTTGCACTATTTGTAAGACTTGAAACTCTAAAAATAATAGCACTACTTTTGCTTGAATATTTTTTTAAAAAACAATTAAAATAATATGGCTTTTAAGTGGGAGACTAATGAAGATAAAAAAAACAGATATTTGTTTTTTTTTTTTTTTTTTTTTTTTCTAAAGAGAGCAAATAATTTTTCTCTTGTTATCTTTAGCCAAAAAACAAAAAAGCATCATATCACTTTTGTCAAGAAAACAAGTATATATACGTACATCCTACCCCATTTGTCAAAAACATAACACATATATACAACTCCACCAAAAGAGCTATTTATTACAATTAAAAACAAAACTATAAGTAACTATTTTTCTTTTTAATATTGCATTTATACTATTTCCATAACAGTAAAAAAAAAAATGATAAGTAACATATGTTTTAATTATTTTTATTTTTATTTTTATTAGCCATTAATATAACTTTTAATATTTTATTAAAAAATATACCAACAGTTTAGACCCCTCTCTCACTCTCTATATATATAACTCATTGTATTCAACAAATTGATTGAAAATCAGAGCAAAAGAAACCCTAGGACCTGTAGATCTCTTTCTGAACAACAGAAAGAGCAACATAATATTTATTTATTTATTTATTTTTATTTTTTAAATGGAATAACATAAAGAATAGATGGAACCATACACTGACCAAACATTGAGAGCAATGGAAAAACCTACTTCCCCACATACTCCCTTTACCGAGAACCAAAAATTAAAAAAAAAATACAAAAATAAATCGATCCTTACAGACCTGACATCCCGAATCTCTCAGATATTGAATCAGACACAAACTCCAACGAGTCAAGAACCTATTGTTGCCCCGATTGGCATCAAACCGAATGACACCAATTATGAAATTTGGTCTCAGGTTGTGGAGATGTATTTATAAGGTGAGGAGAAGTTGGGTACATAAACAACGATTTACCACAGCCACTAGAAACTGACTCGAGCCTCAAGAAGTGGAAAAATGAAAATACGGTGGTGAAAGGATTGCTAATCAACTCTATGAACCCCATATTAATCAGCAACTACATTAGATTTCCAAACAGGCAAAGCAGTATGGGATGCAATTGCTATGACCTACGTTGATGGTACTGACACCTCATAAATATATGATCTTAAGAGGAAAGTGAAAAGGTATAAGTAGCATAGAGGGTCTATTGACACTTACTGCAACACCCTTCAAGGATTATGGAGAAAATTTGATTTTTGTTGCCCAAATCCAGTGGTAAGTGACTGTGAAATACATAAATATAATTCTATTTTGCTAGAAGATAGAGTTTACATTCTTCTGGATTGATTAAATGATCGTCTTGACAAGATCAGAGTAAATGTACTTCACCTCCAACCTTTCCCCACGATGGAACAATCATATGCACATATTCATTGAAGCACTTACGGCAGTCAGTAAAGCTGAAATAGGACACCATGTCGGGAGCTGCTATGGTCTCACGGGGTGGGCGAAGGCCATATCAACAATCCACCCTTCATCTAGTTTCTCACGAAAAGTCCAATACACTGACAAAGCTGAAATCACAAGTAGAAGAGGGAGGCTCCACACAATGTGGGAATACGAAACACATTAGAGATACATGTTTTAATTAAGCTGAATGGATTTTTAGAATGGTAGTATGAAATCAAGGCAAAGCAAAAACATGAGGCAGAATGGGCTGTTTTTGTTAACATGAGAGACTCTTCCTCTGCTACTACTACCGAATTGTCCATTTATCCCATTCCACAGGAGGAATCCTCCCGTGGTGCAGAAAAAAATCCGTAGCTCTAAATGAATCAGGTAACCATGATTAGATTGTTGATTAACGACCAAAATCAATTAATAATAAAAAATTAATTCATAAAGAGTTATTAAAAAATTAAGTCATAAAGAGTCCTCTTAGGTAATGAATATAGAAAAGATTCAAATTTATTCTAATGTCTAGATAAATCTAGAGTAAGTATTCAATAAGAAAATAATAATTTAGATGTTTATGATAATCTACAAATTAAGTCTTTGAATTTCTCTTAGAATTGAAGTTTCTCCGATTTGAGTTTTTCTTATTTGAATTTTGCTTTATTTTCACAAATAGGTCACATGACTAATGATCCTCTGGACTTTGTTGAGACCACTCAACCTAAACACGTGTGTATTCCAATACTAATGGAGGAAAATACCCGATTATAAGAGCTAGAAAAGTGGCACTTTCACTTTCACTCTCTTTACCAAACACTCTATTAGTTCTACCGCTTTCAACTAAATTATTAACTATGGGCTAACTTATTGAAGAATATTATTGGTCGGGGTACTAAAAGAGGACGTAGTATATGGAAGACTTCAATAGTGGCTAGGTATATACTCTCAGTAGATGATGACATAGTGGGGAATATGTCAACTAAGAACTACGTGACTATTTTAAAAAACATGGCTTATATCATGAAACATCCTACCCGCAAACACCATAAAATGGTGTCACCGAATGGAAAAACCGACACACTTTTAAACCCACTCGAGCACTTTTAACCACATGCAGCACATGCACCTCACTGGTATTGGACAGATGTCGTGGCTGCTGCTGGCTACTTATTGAATATGTTGCCCTCTTAGGCATTAAACTTTAACACCCCACTCCAGGTTCTTGCTCCTTATGTACCACTTCCCTCTATCTTGATGCGTCCACTTAGAATATTTGGTTGTGTGGCTTATAGTCATCTTAACAAAAATTAACGCACTAACTCAATCCCTGTGTAGTTCGGTGCATTTTCTTAGGGTATGCAGCTCATACAAAGGGTTGTCGTGGCTATGATCGCACTATCAAATGCCTCTATGTCAGCAATAACCCTTCATTCTGCTCTTTTAAGGGGAGCATCATGTCAGTGAAGAGCAGAATTTAGTGTATGGATAAGAGACGTAGCCAGGCTTCAGGTTGGAAGGTTTTGAGAGAACTAAAGATGAAAATGTCATGTTTGATAAGGCTG